GCCCCCCCGATAGCGATAAGACTTTGGAGGAGGCGTTGCGGTCGTCAGCCGGTGATGATGGCTCTGATGATGGGTGGAGCACACACACCAACTTCTCCTCCCACTACTCCTACGAGTAACTACTCTACTAGGAGTACTCTACTCCCCAACTTTCTTCTCCCTGCTCAACTACTCCAAATCATGCCCGTCACACAAGAACAGCTTGCTACTCTAAGCCGACTAGGGCTGGCTTAGGGCCTTGTCGAGCGCTGCGTTCCCAGCTTCGTCCCGCCCCGTCCCGCTGCTCTTCTGCACAGCACAGGTGCCACGTAGCCAGCCCCAGCGACGCAGGTACGCACAAAACACCGCGCACAGAAGGGGCAGCGAGCCGTCTCAGAGGACTCCTGAGCACACCTCGTACATATAAAACAGCTCCCTACAGTCCCTCGGACTACCAGAGCAAACACTCCGTCTTCCACTCTCCACTTCACACCAGCTTGGACCGCTGCAGTGCGCCGAAAAGATGAGTCGATCAGCTGGGAGCCGGACCTGTCATGTGGCCAGTCAGCCACCCCCTACCCAAAAAACCTGCGAATCACTCATTTCCCTCCACACCACCAAGCCGGTCTTCCTGTGATTGGAGCGCAACCCATCGATACAAGGTACGTTTGGGTGAAAGGAATCCTCTCTTGATTTAGCTCGAGGCCATGCGGTATCGCCTTATTGGAATTCGGCCTCGACGCCGTAAATGCTGTGCACCTACTCCCCTTGCAACGTCCTTTGTCTTCACATGAGATCATAACCGCAAACCCTTCTCCTCCATACTTTTTCCCTTTGCCCACTTCCCTGTCCGACAACTCCCTTTGCTTCGCGTGCCAAATCCACCGTTTCATGGGCCGTTTTTCCATTCGCATCTCTCGTAGTCCTCCTTCCCTTGCCTGCCCCCTCATCCTACCCACGCATATCCTAGCATCACTGTTAGTTCCGAGTTTCGGCCTTTATATGCAACCAGTCACCACTTCCCACTTGACTACCAGGCGCACATATTGGGCGCATAGCCATCCAAGACTTGCCTCTTGGTCTCCATGTGCTGGTCTTTCCGTCTAGGCTTTCCAAGCAACAAATCACCCAAGCGCTCGTCGTCGAGCGAGAAGAATGGTCGGAAGACACGGGCAGAGGGTGCGCTTCATGGAGTAGGCAGGACAGTCGTCGCGGAAGTCTCGGAGAAGCGCAGTTCGAAAGAGAGTAGTAGAAAGAGAAGATCTGGAGACTCGACTGCCCCGCGCTCACCGCGCCGCGAGCGGGACGACCATTCTCCACGAAGTCACCATCACCATGACAGGAGTCCGCGAAGCCGCGACGAATCTCGCACAGCATCGCATGGACAAGTGCCAGAAATGAAACGTGCGGCATATCCGCG